GCTTAGTATATAGAATCTATATTGTTCCACCTGGCTTTAACCTTTCCTACTTTTTGCTAAAATCCCCTTAAACATTCAATTTGATTAATAATGAATTAATTTCAGTAAATTTTTTTCTTTTTAATTCACCTTCAACAAGATAAATAAAATTTAACAAGGTCTGGGAAAATAATCACGAATGAGGTGAAGGGGCTTGCTACTTACTATTCAGATAAATTTGAACAGTTATAAAATACGTATAAACTAAATAATTAAAATTAAAAAATAAAACTTCACAAGTGTACTCTACCAATATTTAGAAAGATCTATTAGCTTCCACATAAAGATGAACATTATGTTTAGTTATCTCTTCTTCCTAAAAATCCCTTGTTCTCCCTTCTTCCTCAGGGTTCTAAGAGAATCCTGGATTTTCCTCTTGTAGGGATTGCTTCATGAAGTCACACCATTTCAAATAAATTCATCTCCCACAGTCATTATCTCACATCATATGGTTACTGACTACTTACTTTGTATGGTCCTATAATACGTCTAAAACATAGCTTCTGTCCTTTAGCTGGGGCCGTCTACAAAGTGAGCATGCAGTTAGGTATGAATGCGCACGTGCTCAGACACAGGCTGTGTTAGTTGCAGACAATGTACAGGGAGTAAGCTCTCCGGAGTGTGGAACGAAGTGTGGGTCCTGACAGCACAGTTTCTGGGGAAAGCTTCCTGGGAAGATAGGACCAGGCTCTTAAGGAGAAGTAGGATTTAGGTGAGAGAAAGAGGATGAAAAGACGAAAAAGGAAAAGGCAGAAAGGCAAGCAGTGAAGGCGAAATTAATGCACTAGTTTGGCAAAAGCCTTCATTCAGGGCATTCTAAGAGTAAAACTTGGAATGAAGAGAAAGTGTTAAATACGGAGGATCAAATTGCAGAATGTAGATGATAATTTGACATCTCCTGTTCTCCAAAAATAATTTGTAAGAAGCATTAACCCATAGTTATTCCATCCTTCTAAAGCTTCAAAACATCTCTACCAATCCCAGGAATACATCTATATCTACAATGTTACCATCTGGATTTGGATTTACCATTTTGGAATTGAGTAAAAAGACTAAACAAACAAAGTTCCATTTCCTGAATCTAAGGACACTTAATGTTCTTGGATTCAACAAGTAAAATGGTGAACATATCATTTTCCCTCTTGTGACTTCTATTTCTCTTTGTGAGCTTCCAAAGTTGCTATGACTTTGCCTAATTTTCCTCTTTGTCCCCAGCATTCAGTGGGTTGTCTTGTCTGGTCTTTTTTTCCATAGCACTTCTTGAATTGACTCCTTGCTCTCCATGCCCAGTCCTGTACTTAGGTCAGGTACTACCGACCTCAAGAATCAATCTTCTGCTCTCAGTCTCTCTCTATCTCTCTTCTGCTCTATAGTCTCTCCCAACTCCTGAATATCATACCATTTGTCAGTTTCATTCAGCCCACTTCCAGATTACTCATCCTAAAGCACAGCTCTGACAGTGTGAAACTCAAGCTCATAACATCACCAGGCTTCATACTGACAGAGACAAACACTGCACCTTGATATTTAAGACACTCACCAGTCTGTTTCCACCACTTCATATATTCTAAAGTCTATTTTTTTATATCTAAGTTCCTATCAAACCTAATACTGTTTTCTCGGAATATATAATGAGCTCCTGTTCTGGGTTGGTATTATTCATTGTTATAATTGTTAATTATCTGTAACCTCAGATAACATCTTTTTTTTTTTCCTGAAAAATCTCTTACCCTGCTGACTCTGAGTAACCTGCTCCTGACCATAAATTTCTGTCTGGTATTGTTTCCTTCTGTGGATTGGCTTACTTCAGGCATTATAAGGGGGTGAGAGGAAAAGCAAAGGGATGGCCAAGGAAACTAACTACACATTTATGGAATGCCTTAAGAAAGGCATTAAGATGTGAAATATCTTAGTATTGTTTTTAGTTTCATTTAGAGTAACAACGAGGTATGACAAGATGTAATATAACTGTGTACACAGCACTGTGAGGGACACGGGGAGGAATTATTATCTTCCAGGCACTCGTTTCATCTGAAAGAATCTTATGAGGTAGGGGCGCCTGGGTGGCTCAGTCATTAAACCCCTGCCTTCGGCTCAGGTCATGATCCCGGGGTCCTGGGATCGAGCCCCGCATCGGGCTCCCTGCTCTGCAGGCAGCCTGCTTCTCCCTCTCCCACTCCCCCTGCTTGTGTTCCCTCTCTCGCTGTCTCTCTCTCAAATAAATGAGTAAAATCTTTTTTTTTTAAGAAAGGATCTTATGAGGTAGATATTATTATTACTTATTTCATTTTCAATTGAGAGAACAGGAAAGAAATGACTCCTACTTAGCTACTCAGTGCTAACTCTGGGATTGGAACCCCTACCATCTGTCACTAGAGCCCGCATACCGGAAGCAGTAGGCCTTTCTGCCTCTCCTTCGCTCTTCCGTGAGTGTAACTACTCCCCTCCATGCTCCCCTCCAAAACAGTAAGGACCACGGCTTCATTTCAGGGCACATACGCATGCAGTTTAAATGTTTTCACTTCTGTTTAATTTTCAAAGTACTTTGAAGTACATTTAATTATATGCAGCCCAATTCTGATGGAGAGAATCAGATAATATTTTTCCTTTGCCTCATAATGTACATAAAATGCTTAACATTCTTTAAGTACAAGCATATTAACACTCTATAAAGATGAAGATACAGAATACTGAGATGACGTTCCACCAGTAATATTTGACGTCTAATATACAAAAAGTTAATGACAGCAGAAACAGATTCAAAGAATGAATGACAGTTCAATATTTTGCAAGATAATTAAGATTTTGATTATAATTTGTATAATTTAGGAAAAGACCCGATTTGGTCTTCCTCTAATTTTTTTCTTTTTCTGAAATCTACTTCCAATAGGCCAAGGGAAGCTTCCCTTACATCTCTCTATGGAAAATACACATAAATATTTTTCACATGCACTAATTCATAAGTGCAGAAAACGTACAGATAGGTTGACTACGAGCCTTTTAGTTTTATAAACCTATCAGGCATTAAATCTATAATTTTTATATATTATTTTACACATCCTATTTTTTCACTGATGTATTTCACATTTAACTGAACTAAATTAATAATAAAATGAAGAATCTAAAATAGCAATTGCCAAATGAAAAAGTATAACTAACCTGGCAATGCCATCATTTAGCCCATTATCTCAGGTTGTAAAATATAATGTTTAACAAATGATTTGATTGAATCATTAATTTTTTTATTTTAATATTCTTATCACTGGACACTTAACACCTAAGAAAACACCTCGTTCCATACCCTCTCTGTATGGTACACCACCACTATCCACTGCATAGTAACACAGGGAGTTATACCAGCAGCTCAAACACTTTCATTAGGAACGTCTTTCATTTTTCTGAAATAGGTCTTTTTTAAAAGGGGGAAAACAGGATCTGACTCTTGTTTGCTCTTTAAAGTTTTATTATTTTAGCATTTTACACAGAGAGCGAGCACCAGCATACTCAGGAGAACTGCTAAAAGTAAAAGGCCTCAAGCTACCCACTGCCTGGCTGATAGGATAAAGCAGAGGTATAAAAACTTTTGTCTGATTGCTCACTTTCCCTGTTTTAGAGTACTGCTACTCTCAAGAGCATATATTCATGTTCTTTCTACTTCGAGTTTTATTACTTCTTTTGTATTATTTAATACATCTAAAGACACTTCCAAAAGACAAATTTTTCCATTTTGAAAAAGTAATGGTTTAGAACCTGATAAAACACATTAATGTTCACAGTGTGTTTTTTGCAAAGGTGATAGAGTAAAAGTGCTATAAAGCAATTAGGTGCATGATCTTAAAGACATTAATATGTCAAATAGAATAAGATGTTTAAAAAGTCAACAAAAATAATATCCTAGGAAAGGTCAGATGGAAATAAGCACATATAAAGACCACATTTCTCATTTGGGTCTTTGACTAGATCTTTAATGCAGAGATGGGGAAGAAAATATAAAAATGAGAGAAGGTACTATTCTTACCTCAATAACTTGAAATTAGAAGTATATGATGTTTAACTCCAGGAAGTATGGACATAAAGTGTCGACTCATCCTAACAACTGGATGGCTGGCATATATGCTTCATTATTCAGATTATAATTTTTTCCCCTGCATTCTAAGTTCTACCAGGGTCAATACTTTTTAGTAAACAAGAAACTGATATGCTTGGCCTATTGAACAAGGCCAGGCATTTTTTAAAGTGTCATACACATTTCTGAAATCCACAATACATCAATTTTTAATACATCTACTCTCTCAGCTCCATTAAAAAGATGGTAGGGGAAAGATTTTAGAGTAATTAATGATATAGTTAGCTGCTAAATATTAATAGGAATCGTAGTCTTGCATAAAATATAACATATAAACCTTGCCAATACAGACGCACCAGTAATTAAAGTTGAATATGTAATTACACTGATTTATAAGACAGGCAAAAAGTTACACTTTACTAGCTTCTATGTAAACTGTGGGTAACAGTTAAACTTTGCATTTTACGGTTTATAAAAACGGGCAATATCTTGACTACAGTTCATAAATGGTTTAGAGACCTGCAATAGTAGTAAAAATTACGACAACTTATTCCATCATGAATATTTTTATTGCACCATACAAACCAAACTGTGATAATGACCCATAAGATGTAGACTCATCTTAGACACTGCTCTACCCCCAAGAGAATGTTAGTAGTACTAAGAATTTGTAGAGGACTGCTGGTACAGTCATTATGGCACACTGGAGAGAATCTAAAAGATGCATTAAAACTGACTTTGATACACTTTCTCATATCAGGAACACGGGGCAATTTAACTCCACTTAAAATTGTATTTTGGACTTATATACCACTAGAAACTTCAGAAGAATACCAAATGTTAGAAGCATATGCATACGGGCCCTTCCCGTCGCTGGGCCTGATAACCCACTTACATGTGCGGCTGAGGCGAGCAGCCCGGACTACTGTTCCCGTTGCTGTCGATGTGGTCCAGGGAGCCATTGAGGTCTTCGTGGACGGCCTGCAGCAGGCCGCTGGATGCGTTATTGATCAGTCCCGGGTTACTAAGCAAAGGTAAACTGCTCTCTGCCAAGGCAGCCTAGTGAAATGAAGAAGGTGTAAAACAACTTCGGAAATGCCCTTTAAAATATTTCTTTAGAGAAAGATCTTCTTTTGAGTGGGTTCGGATCACAGTGTGGATGTTTTAGAAGCATTTAAAGAAAACGTACAGGGAGGACGAAGACTCCGAATGGGCAGCTTGCGGCAGAGACATCAAGAAAATTAAGTATGATGCAAAAGCGTAAACACAAGCTCACCCAGCAAACTTTTTCACTCGTGTTTCAGCCTTTCACATAAGGAAATGCTGTATTCTCCCACGGAATGAAAAACCCCAATACAGAAGTAGTCGCTCTGCTTTTTAAAAATGACCAGGACTTAACTCAAAATAAAGAAGTCCTGACATTTGCCTCCTCTGCATAAAAATTATATATTATAATTAAACTTTAAAGTTTTTGCCACAAGCACCATGTTCCCCAACACTATGATGTGAAATCATTTATGACAGCCTGGATAAATATTAATGCATAGTCACATGCATTTGCAAAAGCTTCTATCAATCTAGCATTTGCAGGAAAACCGAGTGTTCCAGATTTTGCCACAGGGTGTCCTTCTTGCTTCTTCACATCAAAAGTAGCTTGAATTAGAACCAGTGCTTTCTACAGTACTAGGTACTACAACTTACTTGGATGATAAACCAACTCTTAAGAACAATCACAATCTCACCTAAATACAAAGCATGCAAAACAAAACAACAACACAAAGGCAAAACATTCAAATATAAGAATACTGGAAAGGTGCATTTAATGATATTACCTGCAAACTGGCATTAAGAGCTGCTCCATAGCCTAAACTGGTAGGTATATTTTTTACTAAGGTTGGGCTTCTGGAAGAAAAAAATATAATGATCTATAAGTCAAAACAGAAAATATGTGGATATCAATAATCCTCGCTAAAAAGATACGTTCTGGACTGCTGTCTCACACTACTCGTCCAGCCTGAATGTATCTAAGGCCACAGAAGTGAGGTGAGAGATTTCAAATATGTAATTCTCTACATGTATCAACTCGGTCCAGGAATATACAAACTTTGGACTAGGGCATACAGGCAAAGTGGGGTGTGACCTTGAGGGTCCCCTAACCCCGTTTCTGGCTGTGTGAAGGTTTTATTTCTAAGAACAACATTCATATAAAATTTAAAAAATGTAAATATACAACACAATTACCAATTTGATGCAATCAGGGAAATAATTAATAGTTAATTTCAAGAACACCACGAATTAACATAACAAATTACCATAGTTAATTAAATGACAACATAATGGATTAACTATTTCTTGAATGTAGAAATTAGCACACACTTGACTACAGAAATCAAAAGTGAAGGGCCAACAGTAGGTGAAACACATTAAAACCATGTCTTCACAGAATGCAGCAGCGGTTGGGAGGGGGGGCAGGGAAATGCTACATGGCATTTTAATTTATTAGGCACAAAATGTGTTCTATTATATTTCTAACTTAAGTTTGGTAGTCTTGTTCTCTAGGGGAAAAAAATAGTGATTTCAAACTTCCTAGCCAGTAATTTTCTCACACGACCATATCTTGATCATCTTAATCACAATAATACGTAGCTGACAGTGGTTGTGGAAAAAGCAGGGTGGGTCCTAATACTAAAGTTTGGTCTGTTAAATAAAAGAGTACTTAGGAAATAAAATCCCTATTTTGTTTAATAAAATATTTTCATAAATTCTTCATAAAAAAGGCACTTTCAGGAACACCAGTGTCTGCAACATCAGCTTTATTTCAAAGTAGCCTTTTGTGCTCTACGAGAGGTGATAGTATTGTATAAATCCAGGGCGGTATCTCTCTCTAGAAAACACATTCCATACAGAAACCAATTTTTTCGATACAAGCAGGATGCTAAATGGGTAGCACAGCACCCAAAACAGTCTTGCCATGATTTTTATGGAAAAG